GGGAAAGAGCATCTGAAGGTGGACAGGAAATCCCAGGCCCAGGAGAGGCCCTGCTGCTGAGACGCGGCCAGAGCATCCCTCCAGCTTCCCGGGTGGCTCCCTGGCACGGTGTTGGCGCCACTGCCCACGACATGCAGGTTCAGCCCGTGGTCCGCACAGCGTGCCCTTTCCCATCAGTCTTTCTTTCTTCGTCTGCAGAGAAAGAAGAATTGATCCAGAGCGTGCTGACCCAGGTGGCAGAGCAGTTCTCAAGGTACAGAATCTTCTAGATACGTCATCTCCAGAGCTCGGTGCTTTTTCTCTTCATGGCTGGGGTGGGCCACTTGCTCTGAGGCGGTCTTGGCCGGCAGGCTCTGATACATCACTTGCCCCCAGAAGCTGCCTCCCCCGTGGAATCCTTTGGGGACTTACGTACCTAAGCCAGCTTGGATGGGGTCCAGGAAACGCTCGCCAGGTGCCACAGACCATGTCAAGTGGGTGTTTTCAGAACGAGAGCCCGTGTTTCTGGTAATCTGCCCAGCTGGCTCTTCTGGGGCTAGGACTTCAACCTACAAGATCTGACAGCGTTCACAGAGATCCCGTGCAGCTGTGCGGCTTTCTCTCCATTCTGAGTTATCCCGCCGGTTCTGGGTCAGTGCTTTCCATTTCTCAGTTACCTTGCTGTGGCATCTCACTGCCCGAGGGTAGTTAAAATTGGGAAAGGCCGTAGGGTATTTTCTTAAAGAAAGTCAAGAGTTGTTGAACTGAATGGGTTGGAGCCTCCCGGAGAAGGGCACCTCAGGTCCCCTGAGATGGTCTGTGCCCAGCAGGGCAGGGTGTGGGGCTGGACCATGCCCTCTGTGAGCAGAGGACACGGTCCTGCCCGGAGGGCATCTGCTCACTGCCCACGTATGGGGAAGTAAGCATACCTGCTGTACGCTCCCATCTTGGAAAGTACACCTTTGAGATAGTTCAAGGGGGTGTCTTTTTCCTCCTTCCCCTCAGCACCCCTCCCTAACTCCCGTGAGTTCCTTAAAAGCAGCTCCTCTGTTCGAGCCCCTCCCCAGCACACCTGTAGGGCTCACCACGGCAGGGAGTCAGCAGATGTTGGCTGAACCCATTTTAACTGGGAGAATTTGATGAGTTATGTTGCTTTGTTTTGTTTTTTCCTTCCTAGAGCGTTTAAAATCAACGACCTGAAAGCTGAGGTTGCACATCACTTGGCAGTGCTAGAGAAGCGCGTCGAACGTGAGTGGCACGTTGATTCCCTTTTGCTGATTTGTCTTTTAACCTCTGCTTAAAGTAACCACTTAAAACCCTGGCGCTCAGTGATGGCAGCGGAGGTGAGGCTGACAGCAAACGTCTTTTCTTTGGGAAATGCGCGAAAGTTACCTTTGAAGTTAACAAGGGCTAGAACAGTGATGAATCTTAAGTGTTTTATTTCTATTTTAAAAGTAACTCAGTAACATGTGATGTGTTATAAGTGCCACCTTTATAAGTATGCAGTAACTTGCAACATGGTACTTATCGTAGCACAGCTCCTGGAGTACGGTCTCTTCAGCGCAGGAGAGCACAGAAGGAAACCGTGAGGCCCCCAGACGTAGCCCCCTCCAGAGAAGAACTTCTGCAGAATAACTTGTGTGTGTGTCTTTTTACAAAAATGAGAATGCACCGACCCGTACTCTGTGGTTTCACAGTCTGCGGGGAGGATGTCTACTAAATCATTACCGAGTCTTGATTCAGTGACCAAATAGCTGAAACTCTGGGAGGAAAACAGCTTCCAGTCACTCACCCTTTGTGTTCCCATCCATCAAATAAGGAACAAAGCTTGAATTCCACGTGACCCGCAATTCCCCATTCAATGCACAACGGGAAGGCTCTTTGTCAGTGTCAAGGCCAAGGTTAATGGCTCATGGGCACCACATTTACTGACTTCCGGAATGAGTAAACAAACTCCAAACCTGAGGCCATCGGGGTCGTGGCATCACAGACTCTACCTGGCTGACTCACTGAATGTCACTTTTCATATCTTGTATGAATTGCTTGGGTTTTTTACAAGAAAAAAAACTCAGGATCATGTCCAAAACCAATTCGCCTAAATAACTTGAATCATGATTTATATAGTTACCCTTTTCAAAGTATGGCGACATTTTAAAAATCCATTTGGTCGTATCACCCCGGGAGCTTTGTTTTTCTCCCCCCAAAATCATGGTACCCAGAAACTGCTGTGAACTTAGTTTTCCGGGAGTGGTGCTGATACCCTAAAAATAAAGGGTTTGGAATATAGCACGTTGTTTCTGCTGGATGTTTTTTCAAAAGAGAGAGCTTCATAATAAAGAAACTTTGGTTTGGGTAGAAAAATAAAATCATTAGAGCTGCAGAACAGGTTTATCTTCCCCACTGGTGATGAAGGAGCCACCAAAAGATTAAGTGACCTGCTGAAGTTCATTCAGCAAATTGGAAAAGTAAATAAAACTGGAACCAGCCCCGGGGTCCTGGTGGGGCTGCTCTCACCATCACCTTTCCCCATGGGGAGCCAGTGCCACAGCAGGGCGGGGAAGGCCTGAGGTTGCAGGTTACAAAGCAGCTGTGACAGCTGGCCTCGCGGCTACAGCCGCAAACCCTGGTCATGGCTGCACTGAGCAGAAAAGAGGTTTTGCCCTAAGGGATTGGGGGAGCTCCCCTGGGTGTCAGGTGGGCTCAGGACCCCCTGGTCCTGTAGCTCTGCAGCAGGAGCGATGCCCCAAACCCCGCGTAGAGCTGACGCTCTGAGGATGCTGACCTGGTGGATCTGAGCCCCAGATGTACAGTACCCCCCCGGCACCCCTAGATCTGTGCTTGGACCCCCATAGCCCCTGTGGCCACTGCTGCATACATCAGGCTGCTTCTCTGTACACGAGCTACAGATCCAGAGTCTGGACAGAGCTGGATCAGGCGCCCACACCCTCGCTGCAAGGACGGCCAAAGAAAGCAAGTGTTAGTGTCCTGTGGCTCTCATGACAAAGCACCACAAACTGGGGGGCTTAAAACAACAGAAATGAATTCTCCCACTGTCTCGAGGCCAGAAGTCCGAGATCAAGGTGTCGACAGGGTCAGCTCCTTCTGGAGGGGAATCTGTCCCAGGCCTGCTCCAGCTTCCAGGACGCCCACGGGCCTTGGCGTGTGGCCTCATCACTCCAGGCTGCCGCCGCCTGCACACGGCCTTCTGCCCTTGCATCTGCATTCAGGTCGTCCTTCTATCAGGACACACCTGTCTGTGGATTTAGGGCCCACCCTCACCCAGAATGATCTCATCTCGAGATCCTTTTTCTAAACAAGGTCACACTCTCATTCTGGGGGTCAGGATGTGAGCCTGTCCTTTACAGGGGCACAGTTCAACCCACTGCCGTGAGCGTTTGGGGTTTCCATCTTCTGCCATGGGCGGCAAGCTCAGCTTCCCACCAGGCCCCAAAGAACACAGAAAGCGTTCACTGCCGAGTCACCACCTACAATCACAGAGATGAAGAGTCATACGGTCCCCACCTGGAGAGCAGATGCCCGGGGGGTGGGGAAGGCTGGAGGGTGCCAGGCGCCTCCCGCTTCGTCATCCTCCTCCGGCGCCACTGACCACGTCCCCCCGCCCCCCACGGAAGCCAGCTCCAGTGCCGCCGTTCCTTGGAAACAGGCAGGTTGAAGAGGCCATTAATGCATTCTCAGACTCCTACAGGGAGCTGTGTTGACTTCAACTTGAGAGGCTTCCGGTATCTGGCCGAGGGGACACCAGTCTGGCCGAGAAGTGTTTTTATTTTGCCTTCAAGTGGCTTGTGGATTGAGGACCATTGAAGGATGGATCCCCGATGACCGTCTCCCCGGCATGTCCTTGCCGGGAATCCTCCAGAGCTAGCTCGCATCTCCTCCTGGGGCTCTTGTGTAGATCAGATAATTCATGCACGTGCGCATAAATTACCTGGAGGATGGCATCACCCCTTCATCCCCCAGCTCAGGCTCACTGCAAAATTACTAGTGTTTTTACTAGTGGTATTAATCTTTAGCACCAGAGACCTGGGCACTGAAGGAGTGGGATGGAGAGAGCTTGCATTTCTCAGGAGGAAGAGGACGTTAGGGTTAGGGTTCCAGGAGCTGCGGTCAGGTGGCCAGGTGTGGGCAGCGGCCTCCCACCATGGCCCACTTTGGCACCTCTCCCTGCATCAGCCTCTGGCCTCCCCATCACCTCCTGGCTGCCCGCTGCCCACAGGAACGTGGCTGTGGGGGCCCACGCAACCCCGGAGGTGGCCCTCATTCTCCCTGAACTCCACCTGGCTTTGGGTGCACCCTTTCCTGGCGCTTGTGGCTGACGGCTCCACGGGCTCCACCAGCCTCTGCGTTAGCGCGAAGGTGGGCGCGGTCACCTCATCTGTGCTGAGCCCCGGGGGGTGTGAGTTCCTAAGAGCCGCCCAGACACAGCAATCAGGGCCTCCCCTGAAGATATCGCAGGGACCTCGGAAATGGACAGGGGAGGCCTTTTGAGAACCGGGGTTCTGCAGCTGGACCTCTCCCGCAGGTCACTTGGGGAACTGATCATCCCAGCCACTCAGAAGGTCAGCCCTGACCCTGCAGAGCTGCCAGAAGCAAGCCGGCCTGCGCTGCTGGCCTGGGAAGGCTGCCAGGAATATGACTGCCAGGCTGCTCCGCTGGGCCCGGCCAGATATGGACACACACACACGCACACACACACACGCACACACACACACGTAAGCACACACAGAAACGTAGGCACATACACTCGCACACATACACGAACCCCCATGTACATACGCACAGAAACACACACACACATACCATGCTCATACACACACACACTTTGTCTGGTATGTGTGAGCTGTTTGGAGCTGTTCTCTGCTTCTTGAATTCAAAGAGGCACCAGCTAGAACTGCCCATCTGTAAACCACATTACATTGATTTGACTTGTTTTAAATGGAATTTCCTGCCTTTTTTTTTTTTTTACCTTCTCAAGTGTGTAATTCTTTGGAATCAAGTGTAAATTTTGCCATAGCTCTTAATCCACCTTAAAAGCTTTCCTTCCTTTTCTACGAAATGTTTTCCTCCTTCGGGAGGCTGGGGTCTCGCTTAGGTGAGAAGCCATTTCCTAAACACAGGACATCCAGGGGCGCCCCTCCCTCCCTTCCTTCCTTGTTTGCGGGAAGGGCCCAGGCCCAGGCGCCCTGCGGTGGGCACAGGGCAGTCCTGCCCCTGTTCAGCATTTGTCCCTGCTGGGGCCTGGCCCAGAACCTACAGACTAGAGAGCTGGCCGCATGGGGCAAAGTTTACAGCCAGGTCATGCACACAACCCAGAAGACTGAAACCAAAGCTTGCTTTTCTTTTTGTCACTGGGCAAATGTGCTTTATGCAAATTCTTTACCAGAGTCCTTGGAGGAAGTGCTGAAACCCGAGGCTCTATTCCTACGTGGCTATAAACAACTTCCAAAGCTCTGCAGCCTAACTAGGGCCTCGCCTGCCCACAGCCAGCCTCTTAGGAGAGCCCAGCGGGTCAGGGGGAGAAGGGAGTAGGACAGAGCTGAACTTCGTGACCTGCCCGTGACCGTGCTGTTACTCCTGTCTGCTGAGGCCCCGTCCCCGAAGCCAGTGTCCCTCTTAGAAAATCATTCTTAAAGGTCCTCTAGGGTGGCCGTGACCTACAGAGGCCCACAGAACCCCCTCTAAAGTCCGAGGGAACAGCAGGGCCCGGGTGGCGCTCACACTGCCGCTCAGCCTGGGGCTGTGGAGCCCCTGCTTTAGTTCGGTCCGTGCCCGCCTGTGTTTCAAGTTTGAGACTGACAAGTGGGAAACTGACATCCGTCTCAACCCTGAGTCCCCCCTGGTGTCATTGCGGGACCTGGGGGAGGCCCAGCTCGGACGGTCTTCTCCCTCCCCCAGGGTCTTCCACAAGGCATCCTGGTGTCCAGCAAGGCCTGGGAGCGGCAGCCCTGGATCTGCTGATGCCTAAATCCGCCGAGCGCTCTCACCACCTCCTGGCTTCCTCCCGGCGGTCTGGCTCTTTAATCCCGTGACGCATTGTTTTTCTCTTCCATCGATTAATGCGCTTTTGCCATCTCATTACTCACTATCAACTTCCTTGGCAACCAGGCTCTATTTCTTAAACATCATTATGGTAAAATTCTATCATTCCGTGTTGCCCAAAAGGCTTAATCTTAACATCACCCCCAATAAATGGCCAAGGAACCTGATCTACATCCATTTCAATATCCACACAATCAAACATCAGGCAACCAGCAAAAACCATGAGCTAGGAGGCAGGTGCTAACAGGAGCACCCTTGACTTTTTGATGATGGAGAAAAGCAGATGAGAAAACATGATCCCAATTCTGCCTCTTTTTAATTAAGAAAGATAAATAGATATTTAGATTGCATGGGGATGGGAGAAAAATGCCTGGAAGGATACACACCAATATATACAATATTAAATGAGTTCTCTGGGCCAATAGGATCATGGATAAATTTTTTTTTTTTTTTTTTTGGCTGCATTGGCTCTTTGTTGCTGCGTGCAGGCTTTCTCTAGCTGCAGCGAGCAGGGGCTACTGTTGGTTGCGGTGCACGGGCTTCTCACTGCGGTGGCTTCTCTTGCTGCAGAGCATGGGCTCTAGGCGCACGGGCTTCAGTAGTTGTGGTGCTCGGGCTTAGCTGCTCTGCGACATGTGGGATCTTCCCGGACCAGAGCTCGAACCCGTGTCCCTCGCATTGGCAGGCGGATTCTTAACCACTGCGCCACCAGGGAAGTCCCATGGATAAATTTTTAAATACCCTTCTTTGAGATACTCTGTATTTCCTCCATTTTCTACAACGATCATAGGTTATTTTGTATTCAGAGAAGTGACTGTGGAAACGTAATGAATGGTCCCCGTGGACCCTGCAGGCAGGGCACCGCTACCCTGTTTGGACTCTATACTGCGTGCTCCATCTCTTCCCCAGATGGAGCCACTTTTTGGATCCAAGTCTGTGCCACATGCCAGGTCTCTTCTCCAGATCTATTCAACTTTCCAAATTTTTCTGCCCTTCACGTGTTAACAGCCGCTTCCTGGGCCCCTTCCTGCCACTGATGTTGAATCTACCATCTGTCCCATTCGCAGACCCGCAGACACAGCTCCGCGGTGGCTCTCTCCTCCTCGGGGTAAGCGTCCTGCAATGGGACGGAGGCCGAGAAATGCCTGGGAAGGCCGCGCACGCCTGGTCCAAATGCAAACCGTAAAGGGTGTGTGCCGATGTGCTTTTTCTTGGAAGAGGACCCATGGTTTCATCCACCTCCTGACGGGGTCCGCGATGCAAGAAAGTGCTGAGGGCACCGCAACCCAAAGGAGGGTGTGAGCTCTTGGTGGGAGCACAAAGTACCGACGTCCAGTTCCCTGGCTTCCCCACCTCGCTGGTCCCGCGTCCTGGTACAGGAGGGTGGAGATGGTGTTTGAGCCTCTCCCTTGGCATCCCGCACGTCACAGAAGCAGGTCACCGGGACCAGATCCGAGTATCAGATCCTCCAGATTCCTGCCACTGGATGGAAAGAAGCAGTGGTTCCACATAATCTTGCCCCCGCTTGGCCCCTGACACTGAAATGTTTAGAAAACCCACCCAGGGAGATTGTGGTTCCTGGCGGGCTGCCCGGGGGCTCGGCGCTGGGAGAGTTCCCCCAGCCACGAGCCCCAGAGCTGCTGACAGTTCCTCCGGATGGGAGATGGATGGAACCCGCGGAAGTCGCTGAGTTGCTTTGTTTTTCTCTTAGAAATCACCTGCATTTTATTTTTAGCCATATTCCGAGCCGCTTGATGGAAAGGGGAATGAGTGGCATCGTGGGCAGTATCTTTCTGCATAAAAATCGAGGTGTGATTACCAAGTAACAAAGCTACTCTTTTTTTATTTCTTATGACCTGACTCTAATCTGAAAGCCGTTCCAAAACTGGCAGCGTTTCTGAGCTAAATATGCACCCACCAGAGTGAACGTCTTGAAGTTGAATGCTCGCTGGCAGGCGTTAAGTGCCAGTTCATCCTTTGATGAAAAAAAAACATAGTGTTCTGACTTAGGCGACCCGGTGCTGCAGGACCCTGGGAATGTGACCAAGTGCAGGTCCCGCTCGTCCTTCACCTGGCCTGATCATTTCCCAACCATTTCAAGTCAACGCTTCTCCCGGTTTACTGCTCTACCCAGGACCTTCAAATGCAAAGCTTTTACCTTAACGAAATTTTCATCCTTGCTGGGAAGGCTGTGGTTTTGCTCCCCGAGCCCTTCATTGCATTTTACTACCCTGGGAACACGTGCCCCCTTTTTCTTTTGGGGATAAAAGATCCTCTGTCCCGTGTCCTCAGCTGGCGCTTAGGGGTACGGAGGAAAAGCAAGAAGTAGGTGCGGGAACAGTGGAGATTCGGGAAGCGGGGAGGGGGAGGGGCTTCTGTCCTCCAGGGCCCGTGTGGATGAACGTGATGAACAGGCTGTGGCTGAGCTGCGTGGGTGGGGAGGCCTGAGAATCAGCGGCGTGGGCGGGACTGGGAACCAGTGTCTGAGCCAGCTTCCGCCCCCCACCCCCCGGGGACGTGGGAGCCACGGGCGAGCCCCCAGTTACCAGCCTCCCCAGCCTCCACGTGTATCCATGGTAACCCCCTTGTTTCTCTCGGTCTCCAGTGGAAGGACTGAAAGTGGTGGAGGTTGAGAAATGCAAGAGTGACATTAAAAAGATGAGGGACGAGCTGGCAGCCAGAAGCAACAGGTAAGGTCTGCGCTGGGCAAAAGCGCGGCAGCCAGCCAGGGTAGAGCTCTGAGCGGCCACGCGGAGCCGAGAGGGGCCCTGGGTGGGGGTGGGGGGGGGGTTTTCCCCGAAAGCAAAGCTGGAGAATCTCAGCTCTGGCTGGGGTGGGCACCGTCTGGGATTTGCTTTTCGATTACACAGCTTTCTTATCATAAAAGAGAGTTTATGGCAGAGGGAGGCTGGGAGGACGACTTCACAGAAAAGGACAGTAATCTTCTTGCAGATCAAAGTGTTAGGATTCACGGCCCCAACTCGAGCAAAGTTGGCATCGATTTTTTGAAAAGGGGAACGATAAAAGGAGAAAGGCCTTTGGCTTCCAGGGGACGAGTGTCCTAGTGTCCCGGAGGCCCCAATCCCGTGCGGACGTCCCCATAGCACAGAGCGGCCCGTCAGGGGAGTGATGCCGCGTTCTGGACACAGAAATCACTTGTCCCGCGGAATAAGGGTCCCTCCACACATCTCCTGGAGAGCCAGGGTGAGGTGGCCCAGGCTGCCGAAATCCAGGAAAAACATGCCCCAGGCATTTTTTGGAAAGTGGGGTTTGGGCTACAGCCAGACCCTTTGCCGAAACGGTGGGATGTTCAGGTCAAGGGCAGAGATGCACCACGTCAGCCAAGATGATGCTGGATGTCGCACACACTGAGCGCTTGCTGTGTGCGGGGCTGTACCGAGTGCTCTGCTGACGGGACCAGCTTGCACCTGTCTGCTGTCCTGCGTTGCTTCACACCCATGGTCCAGAGACCGCATGGTGACGGTGTGGCCCGTCACCCCCGGAACGCCACGCCACTAAGGAGGCTGAGGTTACAGCTGGGGCTCAGCAGGATTTAACGGGACTGATGAACCTGCGAACGGCCCTGTGCAAGCGCACCAAATTGGCTTACGAGGCCACCCAACATCTTGAAGATCGTTTCCTAACTTTCGAAAATTGAGGGCAACCTGCTTACTGCGGAGCGTGGCTGCATGCAAGGGCCTTCGGTGCAGGAGGGGGAAGGGGAAGCTGGTGGTCGCAGGGGAGGGGCGGGGCTGTGGCCGCAGGACGGGCTCGGGGACTAGCCTGACAAGCTCCGAGCCTGTTGGTGCCTGTCTTCCGGGGGCCACGCCACGTTCGTGGCCCGCTCACTTGTCAAGTATTTTGGACTTCGGGATGTCTCATCCCATTGGATTTGGGGGAAGTCGGGCAAAGGAGTCCGTGACGACAGAAAATGGTGAGTGAATAATTCGTCCTCTCCGTCCCTGAAGTGGAAGGCTCTGTGGGGTCAAGAGGCAGATCCCTCATGTGACCCAGTAAGGGCCCTGGAGTTGCCCGTGCAGCCCCGCGGCTGGGCCCCGGCTCAGCAGCTGGAAGGAGGCCCCTGGTCACGATGTCGTCCTCGGGCTCAGGATCTGGATGGCTCAGCTTAGCCCTCTGGCTGCCACGTGCTGGACCTCCGTCCTGTGGCCAGTCCTAACGCCCAGGGGAGATAAAGCTAATCAGCCAGGCCCTGTCCCGGCCGCTCTGCGAGCGGCCTCAGACTGGCGGCCCGTGGCCGAGTGCCGTGTCTGCTGTGGCACGCGGGTGGTGCCCCTGGGCCCCGTCCCCCATGTTCCCTCTGTAGGGTCACCTCGCCCATAAACATGCTGCAGCCACACAGCCCACAGAAGCAGAAGGTGTTTTATAATGAGGCCTCTCGTCCCTTCTCAAATGATTCAATCCTGCCACCTGCCCAGGGGGGTGAGTCAGGAGCGCCCACACACACACACACCGCCTGCTGGTCCTGCCCTGCCGGCCATGTGGCAGGCACCCCCCGCCGCCCCTTCTGTAAGAGCCAGGCTGGGGCAGGGGCAACGTGATGCGCCTGCTGTGCTTTCTGGCGTGCACTGCCCTGCGGGTCAGTTTGCAAGAGAAAAAACAGAATTTCGTCCAAGTGGTATTAGTTTCCTGTGGCTGCAATAACAAAGCACCACAAACGGCAGGGCTGAAAGCAATAGGAATTTATTTTCCCACAGTTCTGAGGGCTAGAAGTCTGAAATGAGGGTGTCAGGAAGGCCAGGCTCCCTCTGAAGGCTCTCGGAGAGAATCTGTTCCAGGCCTCTCTCCCAGCTTCTAGGGGTTGTCAGCAATTCTTGGGGCCCCTTGGCTTGCAGAGCGTCACTCCTGTCTCTGCCTCTGTCTCCACATGGCCTTTTTTTGGTATGTGTCTGTCTCTGTGTCCAAATGGCCCTTTTTTAAAAAGACACCAGTCATATTGGATTAGGGGCCCCCCTAATCCAATCACACTTGGTGTGACCAGTCTTAACTCATTACATCCTATTTCCTCATTACAGCCCTATTTCCAAATGAGGTCACAGTCACAGGTACTGGGGGTTAGAACATCAACATATGATTCTTGGGGGACACGATAGACCATGTGGAGAAGACCTGCCCGATTTCAGAGCACAGGGGAAGCAAGATGTCACCTGCAGGCACCCGTCGGGGGGCAAAGTGGGCAGAACCGGGGCTCATCCAAGTCATGAAGCCTCTTCCACACCCCCCCACCCCCCGCAAGATGTGTCGATACATTTTTGGAGCTCACAGTGCTGCGATCCAAAGAGGTGCCTCCCCTGTGCCCCACCACTTCTAGAGGTATGTCTTCTCAGCAGGCAGTTTTCACAGCAGCCCATGTAGGTGAGAGACGGGTAATTGTGGCTCTTCAATCGAAAACAGAATGGGGTAAAGTCTCAAACAGTGCTGACACATTGCGAAAAAAGAAATGCAGCCTCCTGGGCTCAGGGCTAATCCACAGCAGCAACACCCACCTGGGACGCTGGCCCAGGAGCCTAGCACCCCTTTGTGCCCCATACAAACAAACAGCCCTGCCCTTTTCTTTATGGAGAAATTAACTCAGATGGAGGATAAGCTGCTTGCGCTGCCCCTCGTCTCTGCTGACGGCTGGGTTCCATCTTAATCGCGCAAGGGGGCCGTGCAGTCATCCAGCATCCTGGGACCAGGCTCGTTACCTGGCGGGGAGGTCGCACAGCTGAGCAGCTCTTTCTGAGGATGTCCACCCAGCCGGGCGGTGATCCTGCCTCTCGGGGTCGGAGAGGGGAACAAAGGCACCCGCCCGGCTGAGCTCAGGTCTGCACCCGCTCGGGTGGCCAGTGAGCCTGAAGGGATGGCCGCCTTCAACCCCGCCACAGGCACACCCCAGCGTGGCCTCGGAGCCCGGTTCCTGCGTGGACCAGAACCACCTTTCCCCAGGGAATAGGGATGGCAGTTGGGTCAGATGAGGCGCAGACCCACAGACACCCTCGGGACGGGCTGCACTCCCCTGAGACACAGGCCTTGAGTTTCTCTTGGCTTTTTCCCCAAGAGGACAGAGGGAGGATTGCCCGCCCACATTCAGGGCAGGACGCGGCCCCGCCGAGCACGTGGGGGCTGCAGGAACACGGGGTGGCATCTGAGGGCTCTGGGATCTGTCATCTCCGCTTTCATCCCAAACAAATGGCCTTGACCACTGGACTGAGCCCCAGGAAGGGGGAGGCTGGGAGCGCAGAAAATGAAAGCAAAAACCAGCCCCAAACAGAAAGAAAAGAAAAGGCGCCATGCCAGCTGCTCTGTCAGCTGGAGGATGCTGGTTCCCGTGGCGACGGGCCCAAGAGGGAGCAGGCAGGGCTGCCTGGCCGCGGCAGGACCTCCCAACGCTGGGATTTTCAAGGAAGCAGTGGATTCCAGCAGTCAAATCATCTTCGGTGGTGGAAGCTTACCCAGCCCTCCTGGGAAAGGCGTGGGACTGACCTGCACAGCACGTGTGTGGATGTTTGTACAAAAGAGGTTAAAAGCGGAAAAGAAATAATGACGATGCTACCTAGGCTCTTAAGTCACAGACCAGGTTCTCACTGCTCAGACGTGTGTGTGTGTAAATGGGAGTTCTCGTTGACAAGGGCAACCACGGAAAGCGTTTGGTTGGCGCGTTTTCTTGGTTCATTGTGTTAGCCTTTTGCTAAATCTGTCTTAAAATCCCACTCCATGCACGAAGCTGTCTTAAGCATCTCGGATGATTTCGCAAGCATCGGGTGGAGGGAAGGAACGGCGGCACGCCAAGAAAGTAACACTGAGGCTCTTTTTCCAAAAAGGAAGCAGGCGTATTATTCTGAGTTTGCAAGTGGCATAGCCACCTTGTCAAACCTCCAGACTATACTGATGAGGGGGGCAAGTCAGTAAAAATAACAGCAACCACGATGCTCCCAGTCAAAATCCAGTCCTGAGCTTCCCAGATGTCCTTCTATGCCCAGATAGCCAGTTTTGAAAAACAGCTACGAAATACTGTTGTAATTCTTTTTCATTTACAAGCACTGTAAACGGTCAGTAGATGAAAATGCAGTCTCAGACACTTTTCCAGAAGACCACGGTCCAGCACTCATTTTCACCCACCCAATGAGTTCTTTTCTCCTCATTCCGTGGTCAGTTGTTTTGCAGTACCTTTCAGGACATACTGTAGGCAACGTTTCTTTTTCCCTTTTCACCCAGAATTCCCTCGCTTCACATAATACTCATAACTAAAGATGACATAATCGTCCTCCCTGTCGAAGGACCATAAATGGTTTAAATTATTTCCCATTGGGGGACGTTCCGGTGGCTTCGAGTTTGGTTTTGTGTTTTTGCAGCAACAGATGACACTGTGATGAATACCTTCAAGCTGTTTGCTTACGTCTAATACTTCGCTTATGATAAATTCTCCAGAGGAGCCTTGCAGCTTAAAGGATGTGAATTTCTTTACGGCTCTTACAATACAGTATAAATTGCTCTCCTGGAAGATGGAAGTTTATTTACAAACTGCATGAGCTTCTGTGCTGGCCCCATCCCCAGCCTGGGAATCTCACGCGAGGCAGGGGCAGGGTGAGGAGTGGGGTGTTAGACCCTCCCGCCACCCCCGCTGTGCTCCCTATTTGAGGTGGGGGGACTTCAAGTTCCTTCCAGAGGAGTTAAGGTGCCCATGTGGGCTGGGGGCCCAGGTGCTGCCGGCTTTCCTGGAGCAGCCCCGACCTGCAGTCCCTGGCTGTGACCCCCTCGGGCCAGCACACACTCACCCGTGATGTCGGAAGGGGGCTTCCCTCCAAAACCACTAGGCTCCTTTTGTTCTGTTCTTTTGTTTTGTTTTGCTTTTGTTGCCGCAACCCGCGGCACGTGGGATCGTAGTTCCCCGGCCAGGGATAGAACCCGGGCCCCCTGCATCGGAAGTGCAAGTCTTAACCACTGGACCGCCAGGGAAGTCCCTGTTCTGTTCTTGATGCCTTGATGTTAAGGAATGAAAAGCAGAGTCAGAGATCAAACTCGCCTCTCAACGTGTGTGTAAGGGGAACAGTTGGGGACATCCTGAAAGTCTATGACAGGAGGCGGGATTGATGACCTTATGAGGTCCATCACGCCCGAGGTTCCAAGGAGGACTTGCTTTTTGATGAGGTCGAGCTCTCTGAAGCAGCAGCAGTGCATTTGTGACATGGTAGTGGGAAAAGCAAGTTGCCAGAGAGCAAGCGTGGTACAACTCCATCCTTATCTAAAAGGACCAGGGGCTGTCCGTGTGTGTCCATACCTAGGAACGTTCTGGAAAGGTACCCCAAACTTAACAGAAGGCATTGCCAGGTGTGAGATTTAGAGGAAAGAAGTGGGTGAAAGGGGACTTCCTTTTTTTTACTTTGCTTCTGTGTGTTTTGAATTTTTTAGAATAAACATATTTTGCTTGCATCATTTAAAAGAGATTTTCAGGAGCTTCTCTAAAATGAAGACGCCATGTTTGCTGAGAGCTCAGTATTATCTCAGGAGGTCCAGGCAGGATCTTCAGGGTTTAGCAACGAGGCGTCACTGGCTTTATGACTTATTCTCTGTAACAAATAAGACCAAAGGGGTTTGTGGGATGCGGATTGGGTTGGGTTTTGCATTTTTCGGTTTTTCTCCGATGAGGTCCCCGCAATCCGCCGCCCAAGTGACACCAAGACCAAGGCGGCAGCGCCAGAAACAATCTCTGCTTTTCCCTTCAGGACCAGCTGTCCCTGTAAGTACAGTTTTTTGGATAACAGCAAGAAGTTGACGTCTCGACGCGATGTCCCCGCTTATCCCAAGGTAAGGTGACATCCTGCCCCTGAAGAAACCACAGTCACCGTCCACAGCCTCCCACCCTCAGCCCCCCTGGCCTCCCAACCCGGCCCCTGCCACCTGCACATCTGCAAAACCAGCTCCCGCCCGGGCCCTGGGCTGTGGAACACTCCCGTTTTTCTTAGGCAGGATATATTTTCTCTCTGACGTTTGTTTAGCCACAGTGGTCCCAGACCAAGCTCCAAGAGATGGGAGCTCCTCCCCGGTGTCCAGCCAGCCCCCGTCACCGACTCAGTGAACAAACGGTTCTTACGTGCAAATGTTACTTGAAAGAACTTTCATTTTTAACTAAATTATTTAAAACCTGCTTTGCTGCATCTCCTGTCCCTGAACAACACGTAGTTGTTGGCGAAGTTTTGCTTTTTGGTCACAAAGGATTTCTCAGTTACAAGAGAACCTCAGCCCTTGTTAGAGCAGCAGTGCCCTGGGAACAGAGGTAGGGTTCTTCAGACAGCTGCAAAAGAGGGGTCCGGTGATGGTGGTCCCCCATCTCACAATGCCTGCAGCTGGTGACTGAGCAGGACCCTGGCCCAACTGTTCTTTGCATACTCTCCCACTAAGATTTGGGCTTCGCAGTGGCCGGGATCCTGCACGCAGGGCGCCTGGCCGTGCCCAAGGCCACCACCGCCACCCCCCCCCACTGTTCCCACAGCAGCAAAGAACCTCCCAGAGCCTCCCTGCCAGGGGTTTCCCCAACTCGGTTACGAAAGACAAGCTCAATACTGTCCAAGGTTTTCACATGGACACGAGTGCCCTGCCCCACGGGAATGCGTGACCCACACCTCAGTATCTGCCCCAGGGAGTCACGAGGCCCAGCTTAGGCCCAGAAGAAAAGGTGACAGTCCTCCACAGTGGTTCCTTTTAAAAAAACAAACGGAAAGACCTAGGAGACGACTATAACGAATTCCAAAACACCGTGACTGTCTTGGGTCTAAAATCTTCTGTTTCCTCTGACAATGTAACCTAAACTCCGGCCTTCCATAGAACCAGCGCCTGCCCCCAGCAAGCTGGGCTGTTATAGCCCACGGCTAAACCAGTGACGGCGTCCAAAAGCACACCTCAAAATAGCTTCTTAGCCACTATTTGAATTTATGCCGAGTAAAAATTTTTTCCCTTGATTTCACTTTATTGTATTTTTTAAAGTCAGGTTTCTCGGGATGTCATTAGCATGCAGTAAAGTTCACCTTCTGCAGTGCAGAGCATTATCAAGTGTGACAGGCTTACGCGGTCACGTACCCTCCACCACGGTCAAGGGGTGAACGTTCTGTCTCCCCCAAGCGCCCCCTCGTCCCCTGTGCAGTCATTCCTGGCACTCTGCCCCTGACCACCACTGGTGGGATGTCTGTCCCCGTAGTTCTGACCCCTCCAGAATTCTCGTGGGTGTAGCCTTTGAGAAGGTACCCAGGTGTCCTGCGAGGGGGGCAAGAAGAGAGTGGAGACGGCATGGCCAGCCTTCGTCTCAACCCAGACGCCCCCGTGCATGCTCACAGTGCTCTCCTGTCCCCTCCAGTACCTGCTGTCCCCTGAGACCGTAGACGCCCTGCGGAAGCCCACCTTCGACGTCTGGCTCTGGGAGCCCAATGAGGTGAGTGCAGGAGCCGCCTGGGACCGGGACCGGCTTCGGGGACCCGACGGCAGCGGCCCCATCTCTCTTCTCCTCGGCTTCTCCTCTGTCTTCTTTGTCTTTCAACTTCATTCTCCAGGTTGGCAGCCAAACTGCCCCTTGGTGGGCTCGGGAAGGGGCGTCAGGGCCAAGGAGCAGGTGAGCGGCGGGGCCTCGAACCCGGGCTCCGGCTGCTCGGTGCACCCCCTCCGCCCAGCAGCCCCCCCGGGCTGCGTCCTGATCCCCGGGCCTGCAGAGTGCAGGCCTCGCGGGCTTGGGGAGTATTTCAGGAAGGAGCTTCCACTGGAGGTGCCGCTGAGGGTAGGCGACCCGGGCAGCTGTGAGGCCTCGGGGACCCAGAGTGACTTTTTGCGGCAACAACACACTTCTTTAAAATTCCCCTTTCGCTGAGAAAACACAGACATGGAGATCATTTTGTTGTTGTTTAGTCTATAATATCAGTTATACCTTCCTCTCTCTGAACCCGGAGACAACAGAAAGTCCCTCCACGTGGACATGAGGCCACCAGAATCCACAGACTCTTGCCAGCTTTTTGGTAACCTGGGAGCCCCGGAGGGGCTCACCCACTTGGACGAGATCAGCTGAGCGACTTCCCTGCACTCCAGGAAAGGAACAGTGCACACTGAGCGTTCACCATCCGGGTCGTCGTTCCCCGCCTGCGCCTGGAATCTCCTGTGTGAACCGCCTTCCCTGGCTGGTCTCCCAGGATGAGAAAAGCCCCAGCAAGAGGGGCCAGGAAAGTGCAGATCCCGCCTCCACCCCACCTGGTCCACCCTGAGAAGAGCCGCGTGCTGGCTGGCGCCTGAGAAAAGGAGCTGGGTGACACGTGCGCTCCAAACCGTCCCACCAGTCAGCACACAGGGCTGGAGCCGCAAGTTCAGGGGTGGGGGAGGCATTCCAAGTGTGCAGCTGTCACCTGCCAGATTGCTGCATGATCAGAAGTGGACGTGGTGGAGGGGGGCCATGGCAGGAGGAGGGGACTCAGATCTTCCAGGAGAAGCATTAGGACCTCTTGTCCCAAAAGCTCCCGCTGAGCGGGGGCCCCTGCTGGCCTGGGCGCACAGCAGCTCAGAACACACAGCCCTGCTTCCAGCAGGTGGCCGAGCGCCGCTACCGAGCACATCTCACTCTCCCCAAAGTCGCTCTGACCTCAGCAGCCCACAGGGAGGAAGAGCAAAGCTGGGGCCCTGATGGTGGAACCCCTGCCGTTCCTGTCTCCTTGGGGCACCGGCTGCTTGTGGCCAGAGAGGGAACGCCACCCTCACGTTGAGAGGTGGAAGGATCCACGCATCCGGGATGCGGAGGCGGCCCTCCACACTCGGGATGTATGTGCAGCCGCCGTCAGGGCGGGGATGAAAGGAGGGACCAGCCCCCTGCCAGTGGGCTCAGCCCGTGTGGCCGTCTGCCGGCCCAGGCCCTCGCCAGCACAACACCTCCATGACCCCGGGCAGCCTGGGAGGGGTCCCAGTGCCTCTGAAAAGCACCTAGCTGCCCACAGTGGCAAACCAGAGGTGCTCAAAGACGGCAGCCCTGGCCTCTGGGGATGCCATGAACTTTGGAGTGTGGATGGCAAAGGTGAACAGCTACAGGGACACACCTGAGAGCTTCAACAGCCCGCCTGGCCCCAAAAAGCAGCTCGCACCCCGAGAACATCAGGGCCCCCGGGTGGTGGTGGTTCACCTCTCTCCCTTCAAGGGGGGGTGACGCACCCAGCGTCACCCAGGGTCCCAGCATCCTCCGATCGCAAACCAGGCGGGGAGGTGACTTCCCGCTGCTCCGCTCTCGCAGGCTGACCTCTGAGTGCTGCCCCCGACGCCGCGTCTGCCAAGCGCGGGCTTGAAGGCCGCGGGGCCTCTCGGTCACCTCGTGCGTGCCGCGCACTCGGCATCATCCAGCTGCCCAGCCCAGGGCCCGCCGCAGCGTCAGCGCGAGCAGATGCACAGACGCGTCACTCCTGCTCCGAAGCTGCCACATAAGTGGCACCAGATGGTTTTGTCTGCCGATCACCTCCGCCTCTTGACTCTGATTTCACAGCAAATATTTCAGCTGCTGGGGGTTGCCCGCAGCTGCGAACAGGCTGGTGGGACGGGGAGTGGGGCTGTCGGACCCACAGCCCCTCTGGACAGCAAAAGCCTGGCTGGGCGCTCGTGCTGCTAGCAAAGCTGGGGTGATCCGGGCAGCAGCCGGCCAGGGGCCTGGACTCCAGCCGTCCTGCCCTCACCCGGGACCCTGCAGTCCCAGCGCTCTACCAGGGGCTCCTTCAAGGCCCCCGTTTCCAAACTCTGGCACCCGGCCTGCATGTGTGCCGTGCCCTCGAGGAACAGCTGTGTGTGGTGGCCATCAAGGACTTTCCGTCTGGGACATCATCCCAGTTCTGGGATGGGCTGGGGGTGGCTTCCAGTTTCCCCGGTGGATTCTCTGTGCGGCTGGAGAAGCCACCCGGCCTGCCCTGAGCGCGTCTCCTGGCCGCTCTGGCTGTTGACCGTCCTCCTCCTGTGCCCGCAGATGCTGAGCTGCTTAGAGCACATGTACCATGACCTCGGCCTGGTCAGAGATTTTGGCATCAACCCCATCACCCTCAAGAGGTGGCTGGTGAGTGTCAGGCCCCCTGTCCCCCCGACACAGTTTCATGGGAATGGACTGTGGGCGCCTTCCTGATGGCCCTGGGCTTCCTCCAGACGGAAGCCACGCTTCCATGAGAGCCCTGCGGGGACGGTCAGCCAGTCTCTGCCTGTCCCCCTCCCCCAAAACACTCTCTGCTCTTAGGTCCCTGCTCTGGTGAGCGAGAAAATAGTAAGAACCGGGGAGGGTCAAGTGAAGCAGGGTGTTCTAAGCAGCACGTGCATGTGAGTGAGCGTGTTGTGCAGGTGTGTACATGGGGGGGGTGCATGTGAGTGTACGTTCGTATTTGTGTGTGTGTGCATGTGATTGTGTGTGAGTGCCGGTGCCTGCATACTTGTGGGGCGTGTGCATGTACGTGTGCATGTGAACATGTGTGAGCGTATGCATGTGACTGCGTTTGTGTGATTGCCAGGGTGTGTGGGTGCCAGAGTGTGTATTTAGCAGCAGATCTTTCCTTTTTTTTTTAATTTATTTATTTTATTTATTTATTTTTTTTTTTTGGCTGCGTTGGGTCTTCGTTGCTGCGCGCGGACTTTCTCTAGTTGCAGCCAGCGGGGGCTACTCTTCGTTGCGGTGCGCGGGCTTCTCATTGTGGTGGCTTCTCTTGTTGAGGAGCACGGGCTCTAGGCACGCGGGCTCAGTAGTTGTGGCTCGTGGGCTCAGTAGTTGTGGCTCATGGGCTCTGGAGCGCAGGCTCAGTAGTTGTGGCGCACGGGCTTAGTTGCTCTGCACCATGTGGGATCTTCCGGGACCAGGGCTCGAACCCGTGTCCCCTGCGTTGGCAGGCAGATTCTTAACCCCTGCACCACCAGGGAAGCCCCAGATCTTTCTTGTTAATAAAATACTGCTCACAACCAGATGTTAAAAGCCTGTGGAAGTTTTGATGGTGGCTGGGGACCCAGCGTCCCTCATGTAGTCCCCTAGCTCTCCCCCCAAGCTTCACGCCCCAGCGTGGCTCCCCTGGGGACACCTCCCCCAGGGTGGCATCGTGGGGGCCATGGCGTGGCCCCTGGACATCCTCAGGCCCCTGGGCCCCCTGGTGCTCTCACCCTCGGGAAACGGGAGGGCAGTTGGATGAGGGCCAGGTGGGGAGAAGGCAGTTGGCACCGGGAGGAAGGTGCCAGGAGCTGGGGGGAGGGGTGGGCAGCTGGCCACAGGGTGGACCCTCTTGTCTCCGCAGCTCTGCGTGCACGACAACTACCGTAACAACCCTTTCCACAACTTCCGTCACTGCTTCTGCGTCACCCAGATGATGTACAGCATGACCTGGCTCTGCGGGCTGCAGGTGGGTCCGGGGGAGCCCCCTGCCCGGCGTGGTCAGTGAGCAAATGGGCGCCCACCCCGGCCCCGCCCCAGGGAGAGGCAGGTCCCCCCCCACCAGGCCAGCAGCTGGAGGGGCTTCATCCACCTGTATCACCCACCTCCCACCCCACTCCAGCCCCCTCCTCACCCCATCCCACTCTCTCTCTGATCCAGGAGAAATTTTCCCAAATGGATATCTTGATCTTAATGACAGCAGCCATCTGCCATGATTTGGATCATCCAGGCTACAACAACACGTACGTACACGGTCTTTTTCTCTGTCTCTTTTTCCCTTGTAAAGGGGCCTCTGGGTATCAGAGGTGAACTTTTCAGCTCAACCCTCTGCCAGTTCCAAGCTGGAGCTGTCGGCCAGGGCCTCCTAAGCCCCCAGCTCCACCCCACCTCTTAGGACATGGCTCGCCTCTTGGGACTGTGGCCGGGGCCCGGGCCTCCCGGCGCAGGACCCTTGGAGGTTACCAAAGCCAGAGGGGCTGCCATAGCCCTCTGCATCTGCACCGGCAGAGCCCCGACGGCAGCAGGACCTCCCTCCCCCGAAGCAGGCAGGGACGCCCGCACACACGTGGACGGGGAGGGGCAGCCCCACCCCGGTCTCTGGATCTCACTCCCCCGTGGGCAGCCTCCCCAGCCCATTTCCAACAGGAGCAAAGCAGAGGCAGAGGCTGTGACAGCAAGAGCAGGGTTGTGGACGAGCGGGAGGTGGGAGGGTCCAGGGCAGGCGTGGAGCCAGGAGGACAGGCCAGGGTTTGCTGGAACGTTGGCCCGCTCCCGCCCCTGGGGCGAAGGCTCCTGAGTGCCACCCCACGCACCTGCCAGAGTCCAGGCCGGGTGGCGCTGGTTTGTGTTCCTAGTGACACATTGGTGGTTCTATCGAATTCGTGTATTTGCATATCGAGTATCACTGGGGCGGGTGATGATGCCAGGTCTGCCTGAGGAGCGTGCCGTCGTTTGTCAGGACCAGAGTGGATTCCAGGGTGTGGACGTTTGTGCCCCTCCGAGGAGGCGGCCCCATGGGCATCCATCCCCTCAGTTCACACTCGGATGACGTGCCCGAGCACAGGCCAGCCGAGGGCCGTGCCCACAGCAGTTGACGAGAAAATGCACCCCGGTCCTCCGCATACTTAAAATGTCTGCAGGGTGTCTGACCATTTTGAGGGCACGCGACAGGGAGGCGCTGAGGCTTCTTGGTGACCTCCACTGTTAGGACTACAGCAACTCGGAGGTATCCAGTTGGAGGGGCAGCGGAGACCCAGGAGAGCCAGGAGAAGGGGGCTCTTGGCACGAGCAGAGTGCGGTCCCCTCCATCCCTTCCAGCTTCCATGCACCTCCCCACCCCACACCCACCCCCCGCCAGCGCTGCTGCCCTGACTCGAAGGCGCCTCTGAGTGCGGGTGCCCGAGGGCCCTTCTGCTCTCTCCTCCAACCCCAGGTACCAGATCAATGCCCGCACGGAGCTGGCCATCCGCTACAATGACATCTCGCCCCTGGAGAACCACCACTGTGCCGTGGCCTTCCAGATCCTCAGCCAGCCCGAGTGTAACATCTTCTCCAGCGTGCCGGCGGAGGGCTTCAAGCAGATCAGACAGGTGTGCGGGGGGATGGCATGCCCACCGCACAGTGGGAGGCACCGGGGGGACAGGGAGCCCGACCAGAGAGTAGAAGCCCTCTCTCCCCGTGCCGGAGGCTCCCAAGATCTCCCAGTCCCCCACCAGGGATCCTGGGGGACCGGCCCTCCTCCCCAACCTCCTCCAAGGCCAAGTGGCGCCCCGGGAAGAGGTGTGTGTTTGGCACGCGTGCACGGTGGACCTGCAGATCACGGCCACCATTTAATTGAACCCTTTGAGATCGGTCCTTTCTCATCTCACAGCCCAGGAAAGTGAGGCTGACACAGGCGAGGTCACTCGCTCAAGCGAGCAGGCCCTGGGCAGACACGTCTGCGGCATCCAGCCCAGCAGAACCACGACCACTGTCCCCTAGGCCCTGCTCTTGTCCCCGGCAGCCCCACCACCCATTTCAGAAGAGACATTTCTGCTGCTCGGGGCACTTAAGATGAGGGAGGCCACAGCCGTCTGGGCTCAGATGCTTCCGACTCACCAAAAGCGACGCCCCTGCACACACATGAGGTCCCGCTGCACGCAGCCCTGTGCCCCATCCTCTGGCGTGTTCAGGGGAGGGGCGATGTCAGAGAGATCTTGGAGGAGTGAGGTGGGTTGAATGATAGCCACCCCCCAACCGAGGAGTGATGTGGACACAAGCCAAGGAGCGCTGGGGCCACCAGAAACAGGAAGAGGCAGGGAATGGCCCGTCCCCGGAGCCTTCAGAGGGGACACCTTGGTTTCGAGACTTGCGGCCTCCAGAACTGTGAGAGGAAGCCTTCCTGCTGTTCCGTCCCCCAGCATGTGGCACTTAGCACGGCAGCCCTGGGACTCAAACGGGAGCCGGAGCCACACGCTGCATCTGTTCGGTGTCGGTGTCTCAGTGGCCTTGCTCCAAGATGCACTAGAGCCCAGGGCCAGGACACACTCCCCTCCCTCCAGGAGAACTGATAGCTTCACCTTATCAGACAACAGCAGCCTCGTTCCCCATCCTTCCGGCTTCCAGGAAGTCAGAGCTCAATCAGGGCTTAATTACGGCCCTTGTTGAATCACTGATTCCTGGTACAGTTATCTCCCCTTTATCTGCTGGCTTTCTGGCCTCCCTTCCACGTTTATGGAACCACCCAGCAGGCACGTGCGACATGTTCCACTAGCTGGAGTGAGTCTTTCTGTGAGGAAGGTAAAGGGGCAAATCCTGAAGAAAGGACCCTGCCTTTGTGCCGCCCCTGATGGCTGCCGGGTGAGGAACCCTGCCAGGGACTCGGCCCAGAGAATTCAAGCAGCTGAGCCCCTTTGTGCGTGGAGTAGTCAGAGCAGCACCCCGCTCCTGCAGAGGAGCCGCATCCCCGGGGACGGGGCCTTCCTCGTGCCGCCCGCCACGGGGACACAGGCTGACCTTGCCCCAACACCTTACTGACATTTAACACTTTCTAAGGGTAAAATCCGTTGTCCCAATTTTTAATAGTATTTCGTCCTTGAATATTTTGAGGGATAACTCATCATAGGAACAGATCCTTCACTAACAATACAGTTAAATCTTTACTGAGAAATCACACAATTCAAAGGGCCAGTGATGCCCCTGCATTTTTTTTTTTTTTTGCGGTACACGGACCTCTCACTGCTGTGGCCTCTCCCCTTGCGGAGCACAGGCTCCGGACGCGCAGGCTCAGCGGCCATGGCTCACGGGCCCAGCCGCTCCACGGCACGTGGGATCCTCCCGGACCAGGGCACGAACCCACATCCCCTGCATGGGCAGGCGGACTCTCCTGCCCCCCCATTTTTTATCTGTCTTGACTGATTTGAGTTGTGTATTTGATGTTTGTGGTGGTGTTTTCTTGGAAAAGTAGAACACCATACTCAGCACAGAGGTGTGTTCTGTAAATGTTTATAGGATGGATGGATGGATGGACAAGTGAGTGGGTGGATGGATGGATGGATGGATGGATGGATGGCTGGATGGATGAGTGGACAAGTGGATGGATGGGTAGACAGATAAGTTGATGGGTGGATGAGTGGGTTGATGGATGATCATGGTTTCAAATTATGTTATTTCTACTAAACCAATACTGGGTTAACAAGGTCAAAATATTTGTATTAAAAAACTTATTTGGGGACTTCCCTAGTGGTCCAGTGGTTAAGACTCTGCACTTCCAATGCAGGGGGTGCGGGTTCGATCCCTGGTCGGGGAACTAAGATCCCGCATGCCACATGGCAAAAACAAAACAAAACAAAACAACCTTTATTTCATCCTTACCTACAAATTCGTTAATAGAAGAATGCTATTATATGATCAGACTTTGATCACTCCCAAGCAAGATAAGCACATATCATCACATACAGATTAGATAACAGGAAAAAAATACTCTTGGAAAATAGGTCACTGACCTCCAACAACGAGCTCTGGAAGGAACAAACCATATATCTAAGTTACTACATCAGCGGGAAGCATTTGTCCTTGGCTGAAAGCGGCTGGACTTCGCAAGGAGACACATGCTGAGCCTGCCCTCTGCAGGTGAATGGTCTTGGTGGGCCCGATGCACTGCCTTCTGCAGGGACACAGCCTGTGTCCGGCAGCCCTGGGCTCAACCCCCAGCCTTCCACTCACCAGCCGAGGCCTGGGCAGGCTCCCCAGCCTCTCTGGCTCTCAGTTTCTTTATAAAAATGAGGACAGTGGTTCTTAGACACGCCCGTGGCGTTGGCATGAGGCCCAGATGAAGTGTGAGCAGAGGGCTCCGCATACAGCAGGCGCTCACTGAGTAATTGTTGGGATCGTGCCCCCGTTCACACTTTGCCTTCACTTCTCAGGGGGTGATCACGTTAATCCTGGCCACTGACATGGCGAGGCACGCGGAAATTATGGATTCTTTCAAAGAAAAAATGGAGAACTTCGACTACAGCAATGAGGAGCACATGACCCTGGTGAGCGGCTTGTCTTCCCTCTCTGGGGGGCTGGTGAGTGAGCGCCACCCCCAGCTCAGACTGGAGACCGAAGTGCCAAAGGAAAATGTGTAACCTCGCCTTGCAGCGAGGTGTCGGTAAAGCCGGCTTTCCAAGTCATGGCACTTACCAGGGAAAGCCCCCCGTCACCCCAGCAGGACCCCCTCTCCTAGTTAAAGTCACCCCTTTCCCATTCCCCCATCTCATTCAGATTTGAAGGTTATAAGTAGGTGAAGGTAAGCCTGCATACAGAGGCCTGGCCAACACAGGGGAGCGCCAGGCTTGGGGGCAGAGGGCAGAGGGCAGAAGCCAGGGCCGCCTTGACATTGGTGTGACTGCTCCCCCCGTGCGGGGGGGGGCGGCAGAGGTGGAGTCCTGCCCTGGAAGCCCCTTGGGCCAGCCGACAGGACTGTGGTTCCCACCCCTGCATCGCTCCCCGGTGTTCAGGCGGCGGGGTGCCGAGGCCGGTGGGCACCCTCCCTGCTGTTACATGAGGATCCCCTTCACCCTGTGTCTCTAGCACACCTCTTCAGTGCTCTGGGGTCCCAGCACTCTCCACCCGCTGGGTTTTTTGTCGTCATCTGTTAAACCTCTGCCTCCAGACAATACCGTCTGTCTACATTTTTTACATATTCTCAACATCAAGAAGATACTTTTGAGCTTGGCAGAGTGTATAGTTTGTATGACAAAACGTCCGTGTGTTCAAGGGGCTTTCCTACTACTGAGGCCCCTCCAGGAAGGATTCTGACCCTCGGGGGTGCGGGGATGCCCCGTTTTCCCCTGCAGCGGGAAGTATGCCCTTGCGGGGGGCAGGGTCAACAATGCTGGGCTCCCCTCCGCCAGCATCACCCGCCCTCCTTCCCCGCCGGCCGGTGATGGTGAGTCCAGACGCACAGCACTGTGGGATGTGTCCCGTGCTGCACAGCTGATTCCAGATCTCTTCTTTCAGCTGAAGATGATCCTGATAAAATGCTGTGACATCTCTAACGAGGTCCGTCCGATGGAGGTGGCGGAACCCTGGGTGGACTGTTTATTAGAGGAGTATTTCATGCAGGTAGGAGCATCACACAGCGTCACGCAGCATCACGCAGCATCACGCCTCCTGGGCTCGTTAGCCCCTTAACTGGGTTCCTGTTGGAAGCGTGACAGACGGGCCAAGGTGGCCGCCAGCATCACCGCCTCCGGAAGCCTTCCCAGTAGGCGCACATGTAATTTGAGACACGGAAGACAGGGACCAACAGGAAAAGCTAATGTCAAACTGTTACCACATTAGTGCCCCTGTTACCACCAGTTAACGCCCCCTCCCCGGGCCCGGCCCCGGCCCCCTCGCGCGACCCTGCAGGCCCAGCGGGCACCTAGTTTGCACTTACGGCGTCCCCATCTTCCCACGTGGTCACTAACGTGCGTGATGCAGGTGGTTCCGTTGGCGTATTGGCTGTTTCTCTCTTCCTCTCAGACGATGATCCTGGAAGCCCCCAGATTCCACGGGTGTTTCTTTCTTTAACGTTGTGTCCTCTGCCTTCCCCGCAGAGCGACCGCGAGAAGTCGGAGGGCCTTCCCGTGGCCCCTTTCATGGACCGGGACAAAGTGACCAAGGCCACGGCCCAGACCGGGTTCATCAGCTTTGTGCTGATCCCGATGTTCGAAACGGTGACCAAGGTGAGTGACCATCACCGCGAGCCGGTGACCCAGCAGTGATAACTACATGTGTGCACACACATGCACATGTGCACGCACACTCACATGGACACACGTGTGCACTGGCCGCCTGCCCGACGCCCACCCGAAGCCCCCCATCCATCTTAACACCCGCGTGTTCGAAACAAACTCCCGCCTCCTGGCCTCCTGTCCCGCCCCCGGGGAAGCGACCCAGCAGCAAAGCCGCCCCATCCTTGGCCACCCTCCTCCATGGTGTCTCTGGGCCCCAGCCCAGGGCCCCGCTTCCCAGGGCACCCGCCGAGGCCCTGTCGGCCTTTCAACTCCACCTACAGAAGCCCCTCTAACCTGCCCCCCACCCCACCCGGCACACGGCTGACACCAGGTTAATCCTCAGCAAGGAGACGGCCTCTGCCTCTCTCCCGAACCTTCCATGGCTCCCCACTGCCCCCAGCACAGGGCACACAGCCCCCCACCCTCCCAGGCCCTCCTGTCTTGCAGGACGGCCCTCAGCTCCTGGTCCTGCCTTTCTTCAAGCCTCCATCTCTGGGCCCACCCTCCTTGGCCTGGGCGCCCCATGCCCTGCTCAGCAACCTTCCAGAGCTCCCTCAGCACACCCTTCCTCAAGCCCCGTGGCTCCGTTCCGCCTAGAATTTGTCTCCCTGTCTGCAGCTTCCTTCCTCAGGCTGCAGGGTCTTCCCCGTGGGCACCGGGTGCCAGGGCACAGCAGGGCGATGGTGGCTCCCGCAGGTGGCAGGAGCAGGGCTGGGAAGCACGGGAGGCACGAGGGGCTGAGGGCTGTGTGCACAGGGCTCCCTGGGGCCTGCCGGGGGTTCTCGGAGTGAGAGGCGAGCCCCTCAGAGCTGAGTCTCAAAGGTAAAGATGCTCAGCAGGTGGACCGGGGGCGGCGGGAGCCGCAGGGCCAGGCCTGAGCACAGAGTGGGCGGAGGGGTCCTGGGCCACGCAGCGGCGGGGTGGG